CTCTAAATGACATAATGTTGCACACTCCTGTACAGTAGGTGGCGGTATGCACCTAAAAGTTGTTTGCAATCCGCCATTAACCAAAAGAAGAAGAAGACGACGACGACGAAGACTTCAGATCTAATAAACGGACAACACACACTTAATCTAAAGGACAAGGTTATTTTAAATTGTGAGGTAAGGTTTACATTCCCCTTTAAAAGTTTTTCTCCTTTTTCATTGCTCTAATATTTCACTGAAGAAAACTTCTGTTGGTGTGAGCTATTATTTTCTAGAATTCCGAGCTAATTGCTAATGAGAAACCAACGTGTGAAATGTAAACAATTAGTATCGCATCCTATTTTATAACGTTTGAACAGTTTAGTAAAACAATGCGTGCGGTTCTCGAGCAAATGAATTTGACGACAACCTCGTGTGTCTTTTTAGAAGTGTGTTTGGATCTCCCTCAAAATGTCGTACATGCTCCCTCATCTTCACAATGGCTGGCAAGTGGACCAGGCTATTTTATCAGAGGAAGACCGTGTGATTGTTATACGATTCGGCCACGATTGGGACCCTACGTGTATGAAAATGGATGAAGTGTTGTACAGCATCGCCGAAAAGGTATTACAGCGTCCTAATATTCAACCGCCGAACTGAACGTGAACACGTCAGATCAGCTATTATGTGTGGTGTATGAATATGTTTAGCTGATCTTTCATTACACCAATGCTTTGGGAATAATTATGTATATTAGTGTTAGTCTATCAATGTTTTATGTCTAATATCACGTGTTTCCTCAGGTGAAGAATTTTGCAGTCATTTATCTTGTGGATATCACCGAAGTGCCAGATTTCAACAAGATGTATGAGTTGTATGATCCTTGCACAGTCATGTTCTTTTTCAGGTAAGTCTTCAGGTAGTATAATGACTACAGCAGGTCAGTTTATCCATTGTATTCAGCCAAGTCCGTCATCAGTTCAACATATGATCATTTATTTAAAGGGATACTCAACCCAAAAATTAATAATCCACGTATTTAAATGTTATTGCTTTAGTTGTTTTTATATATATATATATATATATATATTTCTATTGATATACTCATTTGTTGCAAATTACCATAGAAAATATCTTTATCACTTCATTTTTCTGTAGGTAGGAAGTCCTTGTCTTGTAGCTTTGCGACTATCATGCATACATTAAAAGGTTTTTTGGCTTATAACAATGTGTTAAAATTTGATAGACATAATACTGCATGTAACTTTGCACAGACAAGGTTAGTAAGTGATTGTATCGTATTAGTCTTGTGGAAAGTCTTTTGAAATGGTGCCTCACTTTTTATTAGGGATGGGCGGATCGATCCTTAAAGGCAGAGTAAGTGATTTCTGGTAGCCAATGTTGATATTTGAAATCACCAAAACAAACACGCCCCTACCCCAAAAGGGTCTTGCCCCTATTTTGATAGCTCCGCCCCACATATACGTACGCAACCC